CACCCCCGTTTGAACCATAAATATTTAAGTGAAGAAAAAATAAAAATATATTGAACTTGAACGTATAGAAAGCAGAGCTAAAAACTTTCAAAACTCTTTGATTGCTAAAAGAAACGAAAAATATCCAAGCTTTATCAAGAACTGGCTTTTCTCTAAAGATTTTACAAATGATGTTTTCCCTCATCTTTTTTCTCTTTTGAAAATCATATTGTTAAGGAATATCATTTTCATTAAGTCTCTGATCTATGCTTTGAACGTTATCATCAACCCAGCTATAAAAAAAAAAGCAGAAAATATTGGAAAAATATTGGCACTTGTGAAGGAAAAAATGTTTTAAAGATACCAGAATTGAATACCTTATGGGCGGGGATATCTTGTTGCAGATTCTCTAATTCACTTACATGTTTTCAGATAATGCTTATTGATTAAAATGAATGTACTAGGACAGTCATGGGTGAAAGCGAGACGGAAAAGAGGAAAAGCTGGTAGTAAACCCATTTCAGTTTTAACATGTTTTCGGGAGGAGTTAAACTATTCTCTTTTTTAATTATTCAGCTATATCTACTTTTCTATAAAGAAAGAAGCTGTTTTTTACATATGCTAAAATTGTAAAAAAATTACGGTTGTTACAGAAATTTAATGTTTCTTGAGAAAAATGCTACAATGAAATGCCTTTCGTATCAGTTTTTGCTCTTTTCCGTCTTGCTATATATAGGCTTTCAGCCCTGAGGACAGTTCCTGTGCTACAGTCGGAAATGATTAGAGGAAAGCTAAAAATGTTTTTTGCCCCTTCCTCTTATTATAACCATCGTTGAACAGCCGACCCAATATTTTGGGCCTTGCTTTGAACCCACTCCAAAGAAAAGGGAACTCCTGAATAAGTATAGGGAAGAATTTGCCTTCGTGGAGGACTTTTTGATGGAACACATTTGCGTTAGATGGAAAGAGAAACCAAGAAAACAGTCCACGGTTAGCCTGCGGTCAAAGGGACTCTAACCCGTGATGTATTTACTGAGAGGGGAGAGAATGGGGGGGGGAAGAAAAGGATAAGTTTCCTACGCTGAAATTAAATGACACAAAAATCAAGTTGATAGAACTATTCAGAAGAGATTTAGTTAAAAAAAAAATAGATGGCTTATTAAATGCAATTTTATACTGTACCTATTCACGCTTCGACGCGCAATTCATATGTAGACAAGTAAGATACCATTTCCTATGTATTTTTATACGCTAAATTAAAAAAAGTCACACAAAAAAATCGTTATTACTAATAAATTTATTAGAGCCTTTCTGTAAAGAAAAGGTAGAGTTTCGTACTATTTAATTATGTGACATTTGACAAGCGAAGAATTGGATCATATATATATTTTAGGAAAATTGAATATGACCAAACCAAGTGCATAGGACTAATAATTTAGAAGTTATAAGAGTTACAAAGTTTCCGTGTATAAAAAGGGCAATTTGCGCCTGTCATTGCCTTCTAAACAAGAGCAAGGCATTGTTTCTTAAGTATTTCAAGTAAACATTTTCTTGCATTTTTAAAAAAATTCAATACCAAGTATTCTAAGATATCAAAATTATTAAAACGTACAACATGCGGTATTGGTAGGTTGGTACTTTGTTTACGTCACTCTAGAGATGCACAATGGGCTACAGGCGACGGTCAGGGAAACATCCCTGAGGATGATCCGAAGACATGCCATCGTAATTTTGATCCTCTGTAGAGGGGATGGCTCCCCTGATTTGGTAGTCCGACTACCTGGAGCGCAAAGTCGAGCACTTTACGGTAGAACAGTTTAACGAGAACAGATACCGCGCACCTTCGATTCCTACACAGGCTGATCAAAGTGGTCACCCACCCGCTAACTGACGGCAGGCAGTGATACTGGACTTTCGTGTTCTGCTGGGAACCGTGTCTTTACGATCAGTCCACTGCGGGACCACGTGTTATTGTCCCAAGGTACAATCACTACTTGGTTTAAATAACGGCAAAATTATGATTTTTTGAGAATCAAGATTGTATTCGATTTTGCATTATTTTTAAATTAAGTTAAAAATTTGAAATAAAACATAATTCCAATTTGGAAATGGTCATAATGTGATACTATTTAAAAATACACTTAGAAATTGAGAGAAATATTGCATATTTATATATTTTCATTCCTTGAAATTGGAATATATAGTTTGTCTAGAATAAGAACTGCCCCTCCTCCACAAAGTCTGAGGCCGTCTGCTGCTATGGAAACAAGAATAGCCTATTTCAGGGTGGGTAGCTTCTCTTCACTCTAGGGCTAACACAATAAAGAAAAAGATGTCATTTCTCTCCCTGACCCGAGCATGAGCTAAACAATGATCCCACACCCCTACAAATAGTTACACCTCGTTGCCATAGTAACCCCCAATTATCCAAGCAAATGGCTAGAGGAGTTCTTACTTTAGACAAATTGTACAAGGTCTGGAAAGATGTGAAAAACCGCATGATTTACATTCCTTTGCATAATATTTATTTTCCCACAAAAAGTAATCCGTTAAACATATAACCTTCTTTTCAATTTCAAGAATCTTTTTAGGAATTATTCCAGTTAACTTAGTTAAAATCGTTCTGTAATATTTGAAGTAGTGTTAATTATAAAGGGGACGAAAGTATATACAAATTAATATCGTTCAGTTGTTTATTTAGGTCATCCAAATTTTATTTGAATAATATTAACGAATTGCCGCAACTTCCTCACATAAAAGATTTCCGCATAATTTATCTACTCATAACTAAAACATTTAAAAAGATCTCTTCTATAACAAATAAAATTCAGTTATATAAATTCCTATTTATAAAATTAAAATAAAATTATAGAAAAGAAAGTTGTTTTTAGCCAAAATACTTGGATCTTTTTATACCATAAAAACGTTTTTTGATCTCAATAAATCTTTTTCTTATTACCGTCAGATGGGGTGACTTTGTGCAAACTGTCATTTTTTTCTATTTTTGCATCGTGCCATCTAGGGGTATTTTTTTCAGATCGCTATCAACTGATTTGAGTTGTCAACATAACGAACTAATGGTACACCAAGAACTGGCAATGTAAATATCATCGCTCTTGGAAAATTGTGAGCTCAAGTTACAAACAGTTTCAATTTTTTAACGTCGCAAAATCGGAGGCTGGAAAGTCTGCTCGGTTGACGAAGTTCTAGTTATCCTGGCCAGGAAGGTAGGTCATACTTTAAAAGTCTTATCAATTGAGATAACAAATCATGAATAATTTTTTGTTTTTATTTATTATAATGTTAGTTATTTAAAAATTAATAAAAAAATGCACCCTGGGCTTCGTGTAATTTTTTTTCCGGAGAAAAACATGCCTAGGACTTATGAAAGAAGGCCTGGAGCAAGAAATTATTGTGATTACACCAAAGAAGCGTTAGAAAAACGTTCGGCAGAAGTAAAAAATGGTTTATCTGTTTCGAAAGCGTGAAAAAAGCTCGTAATTCCCCGAAACACAATTTTGAACAAAATTCATGAGAAGCATTCGAAATCTCAGGGTGAATATTATTTTCCATTTTCATTTGGAAGTGGCCTAAAAGCGAAAGCCTACAAAATTGAGGATATTGTTAGGTTGATAAACGCACCCATTCTTGTTAATAAGAGAGGATCATTCCGAGTTGAAGGTAATTTGGGGGCGTTAAATGAGGGAATTCATTCATGTCAATTCATATCAAATGTTTGATTGCACCAGAAAATCATAAAAAATCCGAAAAATTAAGGTTTTTGAGTTCATTTTAAATAGATTTGTTAATACATAGTACATATTTATATGTAATTTACTTGTATTGTACGTTAACAATGTTAAATATTGTTTATTAAACGATTTTAAGTCAAAGTGAATGAAAATAACTGAGCTAAGCCATTATTTAATTGCATTGCACAAAGTCACCCCATTCGGGGCTGACTTTGAAATAATAAACATTTTAAATCAGCTCTTAACTACATGCAATTACTTCCCAGATGGCTAACAAGAAATTTTAGATTAGATGCTGCACAATTCAGCATCTTTTAACTATTTTTTATTAGGTCAAAGTTGGAAAACTGAAAATTCCTGAATGTACGCTGAATGTCATATTTTGCAATATATATATATTTAAAATAAAGTGGTTTTTAGCCAAAATACTTCAATATTGTTTTTTAGCACAAATTTTTGCTCTAATTTTTTTTTGCGTAATGTTAAATGGCATACTCCTTAATCTAAAAAAATCAAAAATGTTTTTTTGTCCATAAAAAACAAATAATAGTTTATAGCCAAAATAGTTCAAGATTTTTGTACAGTGAAATAATATAGTTCCTAAATGTCAATAAAAACCAAAAACTACCTCTTGATTTGTTTTTGTATTAAAAAATACGACATTTAGCAGTTTGAGAAGAAGAAAAAAATTTAGGTAAAAAATCTGCTTCCATGCTATAAACAAATTTTTAAAAAAATACTTTTTCTCTTTAATGACTAAAAACAAAAAACACCCCGTAAAAGTTGTAAAATATGATATTTTACATTATGAGACAAAAATTGATATCAAGAAACTTCATTTTGTGCTCCAAGAAACCTTGAATTATTTTGACTAAAGAACATTTTTTATTTTCCTGATGGTCAAAAACAAAGAACATGTTCTTGATTACTTTTATAATAGAAAGTATAAAAATTTTACCCTTCAAGAAACACTTATACACATGTTTCAGAAATTTAATAATTTATTTAAATTTTAGAAATTTAAAAGTTTATTTATCAGTAAGTGCTTAATCCTAAAAAATTATTATAAAATCTGCACGCCATTGTTCTTTTCACTTGAAATGAGCCGTATATTTAATTTTCAAAAAATTACTTTAATTATTTAAAATAATAGCCTTTCAGGTTTAGTTTTTTTCTTTATCCAAACATTTGCACTAATAAAAAAAGATAAAAAATAGAACTAATTAAAATTACAATATCAAAAAGAAGAAATTTTGATTAAATGTTTACCTCTGAGCACAATGTGCTTAAGCATGGATAAAAATATCGCAACTTGAAGAATTTGTGTGTGGACCATTATTTACTACATAATTTAAAGGCTTATTGTCCTAACGAAAAACGGATCTCCAGTAACTTCCGTTTATTAATCACAATTTCCCGGAAGCCTTTGTGGATTTGATGACAATTTTTTGTGAGTCGTTGATAGGATGAATACGATGATCTCAATGGAAACAAATCGATTCAAATATCATTTTTGCTAAAAACTTCCTAAAATTTTGAATTTTTAAAAAATGGGGGAAATCCATTTTTTTCGCTCGAATAACACAAAAACTTTATCGAATCAATATGTGAAAATAACAGTTCAGTGGAATTTAAAACTGCAGAATTTATTAGATTGTGTTTTGTTTCTGGAATATTAGGTCACATCAAAAAAATTGTTATTTTAGGAAAAATGTGCGTAATGTAAACTTTGGTTTCAAAAGATAAAATCTCGTACCTCACCTACATAAAGTCAAAATATTTATCATGAACTAAGCCATGATCTTGTGAAACTAAATAACATGCTAATGCATTTATTAATTAAAAATAACAAATTTCGTGCCTTTCTTTTATTATTTATATTATACTATCTCGACATTTAGTAAATTTTGATTTTTTTTTTAAATGTAACTTGAGGGTATTCTTAAAGATGGGCATTTCAGAAAATTTAATACTTTTATTCTGAATCTGGTTCCAAAAGTGTTTGAAGGTGCAGAAAAATAAAAAATAGTATCCATTTGGTTAATATTTTTTAATCAATAACAGACTTTTATTTACCTTTGAAATTATTAAACACATTTAGAATTGATTGAATATTGTTCTTAAAACAATAGTTCTTTTTGTATAACAAAAGAAGCATATATTTTTGCACTTTCTTGGAAAATATTTTTGTGTCGTAGTTGCTGCAGAAATTGATTAATTTCTGTTATCTTTTCGAAACATAAATACAAAATTAAGATATTATTTATTTCTTTAGATATCCTTTCAAAACGACTTCATAATCAAAGAATAAAAAATATCACTGAAAAAATTTTTTTGTGATAGTTGGAGGAAAGAAATAACTTGCTTTTAAAATTTATGCACAATTTTCTTCAGTATTTTATTAGCTTTAAATTTAATACATAGTTCGTTCACCAGGAGTTGACCTCCGTCTTCCTCACGTGGTATCCACCAATACTATTTCGCTATTTTTGGGAGAAGAATGTGAACAATCCTGAACAAGGTTGGTCGATCATATGACAAAAATATTTAATTTCATTATTTTCATAAATTTGATGATATGTCTCTCTTTTAAATGAATACTTTGTCCTTTTGAGACATTCTACTGCAATATATTTAATTAGCTAGAGTAACGAAAGGTATAATAGCAGCTGATAAAGTAAGTAACTGAAAAAAAATTTGCTGTTTGCGTTTAGCACGCATTAAAGGTTGTATCAATTTCAAGCGAAGATGTTTCTCCTCTTACTCCCGCGCTGAAATGAACTCTTCTTGAGAGGAGGTGAAGCCCAACTCCTAGTGAACGAACTATGGCTAATAATGAATTATTTAGAATTTATTAGTAAAAATTTCAATCCCTTAACAATTTTACCTAATCTAGGTACGTAAAACAGAATCCTGTAAAATTTCAAAGTACTATTGTGAAGGGGGGGGATTCAAATGAATGTGTCACTTAAATTACTAGTGAAAAAGGATGGAACATTATTTAAGGAAAAGAATGAAAAAAAATTTTTTACAAAAATCTTAAAAGTGTAGGCGTTTCTTAATTTTTCTAGTAAAAATGATTAAAGAAAGGATTCACTCATTGGTAAACTCGTATGACATATTACATGTCAAATTAAAGATCAAAATGGGGTTTCATTTCTATACCAATCTATAATTTATTTTTTAAATTAGTTTAACATTTTACTGATCTAATGACATGAAAATTTAGACTTAGACATCCTGAAAATCTAAATGTATAAAAAATTTTATACCTAACAAAATTTTCATACCTTTCATCATTAATGAATTAATTAATAAAAATTATTTAGTTCATCTAAATCTCCTATTATACTAAATATTTTTCCATGTCTAAGGGTACACTAGTACCCGGTAAAATAATACGTGGTCAAGTTTGAATATTAGGGGACAATATTAAGAGGAGATATAAGACTCTGTTGCAATACATAATTTCCCCATTTTAACGCTATTATGTACATTAACTTAACTTATAGGTTCAAACTGTAGGCCCCCTACTAAGCCTATAATTATATCCTCTGGTAGGGTACACTAGTATCAGAAATATAATTCGTGGTCCAGTTTGAATATTATATGTCAGTATTAAGGGGAGACAAAGGGTCATAATCTAATACAAAATATTAACTTCGAATTTCCTCATTTTAACGCTATTATATATATATATACATACATAGTAACATATAGGGCCGCATTGTGGTACCCTATTAAGCCTATAATTATTTCTTCTGACAGGGTACACTATTACATGGCTATATAATACGAAGTTCAGTTTCAATATTATGGGTCAATATTATATATGGGGAAATATAGGGCTATATTATAATATCGAATATTCACTTCGAATTTTCTCATTTTAAAGCTCTCAACACACTATTATATATATACATGCTTAGTAACCCGTAGGGCCGCATTGTGGGCCACCTATTAGGTCTATAATTATTTTCTCTGGTAGGATACACTAGTAGCAGGCAATATAACACCTGTACGGTAATATAGTACCTGGTAAAATTTGAGTATTAAGGTTCAATACTAAAGGGAAATATAGGGCCAAGCTGTAATACGGAATATTGACTTCGAATTTCCTCATTTTAACGCTAATAAAGACGCTATTATATATAGATATACAAACATAGTAACCTATAGGGCTACATTATGGGTCCCCTATTTGGCTTATAATTATTTCCTCTGGTAGAGTGCACGCGTACCCGGAATTGTAATACCTGGTACAATTTGAAAATTATGGGTCAATATTAAAGGGAGAAATAGGGCCATGTTGTAATACCAAATATTGGCAGTGAATTTCCTCATTTTAACGCTATACTATATATATATTAATAGTAACCTATGGGACCACATTGCGTACCAGCAAATAAGCCTATAATTATTTCCTCTAGTGGGGTACACAAGTACTTGGTAATAAAACGCGTGGTCTAATTTGAACATTATAGGTCAATATTAAAGGGAGATATAGAACCATATTGTAAAACAGAATATTGACTTCGAATTTCCTCATTTTAAAGCTTTTCTACACACTATTATATATATACTTACATTGTAACCTATAGGAGTACATCGTGTTCCCTCTAATAAGCCTGTAACTATTTCCTCTGGAGGGGTATTCTATTACCCGGTAATATAATATGTGGTCCAATTTAAATATTGTGATACAATATTAAGGGAAGATATAGGACCATATCGTAAAACAGAATATTGACTTCGAATTTCCTCATTTTCACGCTATTCAACACACTATTATATATACACATACATTGTAACCTATAAGACCACATTGTATACCCCTTTATAAGCTTATAGTTATTTCCTTTGGTGGGGTAAATTATTACCCGGTAATATATTACGTGGTCCGATTTGAATATTATGGGTCAATATTAAGGGGAGATATAGGGCCATGTTGTAATACATAATATTGATTGCGTATTTCATCATTTTAACGTTGATAGTAACCTATAGGACCCATATTTTGTGCCCTCTAATCAGCCTATAATGTTGTTGATGCACGCTCCCATTGGCCAGCAGTGCCCAATAAAAATTTTATAAAGTTTTATTACTAGTAAATTGACTCTATCAAAGGCCTTGGATAAGTCCAGGAAAACCGCGAAAGTGTGATTCTTGTTGTGAGCGTCTCTTATCCTTTGACAGAAGTAAAGTAGCTGATCAGTAGTGCTATGGCCTTCTCTCAAACCATACTGCTCCTCTCCAATTTCAATATTATGGGGAGATATAGGAGCATATTGTAATACCGAATATTGACTTCGAATTTCCTCATTTCAATGCTATTCAGAACACTATTATATACATTGTAACCTATAGGACCACATTATGCACCCCCTAATGAGAATATAACTATTTCCTTTGGTGGGGTACACTATTGACCTGTAATATATTACTTGACCCAATTTGAATATTATGGTCAATATTAAAGGGAGATATAGGACCATATTGTAAAACAGAATATTGACTTCGAATATCCTCATTTTAACGCTATTAAACCCACTATTATATATATACTTACATTGTAACCTATACGACCACATTGTGTTCCTCTAATAAGTCTATAATTATTTCCTCTGGTGTGGAACACTATTACCCGGTAATATAATACATGGTCCAATTTAAATTTTATGGGTCAATATTAAAAGGAGATATAAGACCATGTTGTAATACAAAATATTGGCAGCGAATTTCCTCATTTTAAAGGTGTTGTATTTATACATTGATAGTAACCTATACGACCACATTGCGTACCCCCTAATAAGCCTATAATTATTTCCTCTATTAGGGTACACTAGTTCTCGGTAATATAACACGTGGTCTAATTTAAATATTATAGGTCAATATTAAGGGGAGATATATTGTAAAACAGAATATTGATTTCGAATTTCCTCATTTTAACGCTTTCAGCACATTATTATATTTGTTACATAAAAAGTTTCAATTAACATTTTTATGTTAGTTCTTTACTATAAAACAATTATTACCCGGTAGAGGTGGGCATTTGTCATTCAGAATAATGAATAAAGATTTATTCATTAGTCAGAAATATTTTGAGTGAAGAATAAATCATTCATTCTTCTTTATTCATTAGTCAAGAACAACTGAATAATTTCTCTGGTCAACAAAAATGGGCACGGAATATTCTAACTGACTACAATTGTGCCCTCAACGCCACAATGGCCATGGGTCAACGCCCCCAACTCTTATTGGAGCAACTGTATGAGATGCGAGTGGGCTTCTTGGCGTGTACGGATGCCGTGATCAAATCAAAATGGGGCGAGGTGCTGGAGAAGCTGTTCCCATTTCATCCTGCCAAGGAACTCAAGACAGTTGTTTTCCCATCAAACCCTTGGGCA